GCTAGGATTATTGTTAAGCAAAAAAAAAAAAAAAAAAAGGAAAAAGCAATTATTGATATTAAAAAGAAAGTTTTTAAGAAATTTATAATTGTAAATGATTTAAAAATGATTCTTCTGTGAATATATTTTATATTTAATTTATTTTAATATATGAAAACAATTTTTAAAGTACAGTCAATAAAATTTGTAATAAATTATAATAAAAATTTGAATCGAAAAATTTCATATTTCGTTCGATTGATATTATTTACAGCCAGTGACATCTGCGATAACCAATAAAAATTAAAGACAGGAAGATTAGTTGCAGATGGATGACAGCATTATCAAATATAAATTGGTAAACAGTTTGAAAGAATTGCGTTTGTTTTCAAATTAGAATACTTAGATTTTGTTGATGAGTTTTCCAATATTAAATTATGATCTTTAACTTATTTATAAAAAATTATTTAAAAAAAAATTTTAATAATTTTTATCTTTTTATAAAAAAAATGCTTTTATTTTTTTTTCTTATAATATAAATAATCTTTTTACAATAATATTGTTTAAAAAAAAACATTCAAATGAAAAAAAAATTAATTCATTCTTAATTTTATTATTTTTATAAATATAAATATAAATATTAATCCATAAGTTTTTAAATTTTTAAATATAAATAAATTTATTTATAAGTTTCTCTTAATTAAAATTTCTAATAAAATTTTTACGATTCAATTTTTTTTTATGCTTGATTTGTTATAAAGTATTTTTTTCTTTTATATAAAATGTTTTCCTTGTGTGTTATAAATAATCTTTTTTTTTTTCAGTATAAAATAACTAACCATGGATTACAATATATTAACACATTCGTTGCAATTGATATATAACTTCCATTCAATTATTTAAATCAGGGCTATCAAATTTTTCTTCTGGTATGACTTGTAAGTCATTGAATCATACAATGTCAATCATTCCATGTATCTTGTAATGGTGTGGTATACTAGGACAAGAATAAAGATGTAATGAATAAACTACAATCGCAATGTAGGTGTTAGTTATCATTTTATATGTTGCGCATTTGTTTTAATTGTTTTAATTCTTTTCTCAATCAGCAAGTTAGTCAATATCACTATATATATCACAATCTACTTACTATATTCTTATTCTAAAATATAGGTATCTTAATAAAATAGGAAAAAGAGTCAAATGCCTTATATGAGTTTCCTTGATCTAAATGATGTTATAATAGACAATATATAATAAATAAATTTATTTTTTAAACAAAATAAACAATGTAAACTAATCATTATTTATTGTATTTATAATATTAATAAAAATATTTTTAGTAACAAAAAATATAATAATATAATAAATATATAAAAATATATTTTTTTAATTTAAAAATATATTTTTTAAACAAATAATAATATTTAATAATGAAATTGAATTTAATAGTAGCGAATGTGTTATAATTTTCATAGTATTATTTATTTTCAGAAATATCAATTTTTAATTCAATATAAATTTATTAAAAAAAATTTTTTAAAATTGTAAAAATCCAAATTTTATGTGAAATAAGTATAATACAATTTCAATTAAAAAATATATAATAATTTATATATTGGTAATTAATATATGTATATAATTTATATATTTTTTATGTTTTTCAAATTTCTAATAAGTAAAAATTTATTTTCCCAAATATAAAATTTTTATATTTTATATTTTTTTTTAATTTTTATATATTGATAGAATTTGATAAATAGATTTTAAAAATTTCAGTTTTAATTTTAAGAATTCATAGTAAAAATCATGAATGTCTAAACATAATCCAATATTGATCTAAACTATCCATAGTACACAAAGTATCCAAGAAGTAGAATTAATAAAATAATCTTTAATTTTTTCATATTATAAATCGAATAATAAATCAAACTTGATTTCAATAGATAAAAATTTAATTAGTAATTAATAAAATGAATATTTCATTTACGGTTTCATGAGTACGGTTCAATGAGTTGACTGTTTCTTATCATTGTTGCAGATGGCATATTTCATCTATGTAATAATTAGTTTCATAAGACATGAGAGCATTAATAATATGTATTTTAAATAAGCATAAATTCGGAGTATTTTAAGATTAAAATTTTATTTTTGAAAAAATAAAAAATTAAATTTTATTATATCATATAAAAATATTTCATTATATTTTATTATATTAATATTTTCTTATTCAGAGAATTAAAGTTTTTTTGTTTTTTTTTCATATATTTATTCAATTTATATACATGTAATATATAATATAATATATATATAATATACATATACATATAATATGCGCCCAATTTAAAATAAGTATAAATAACCAGTTAATAATAAAACATTGAAATCTATTGTTACTAATAAAATGATAATACATAAGTAAAAATAAATTATTTTATTACAGCAAATAAAACTATATCAAAAGTATCGGCTTTGTCATTAACGAAAGATTTATTACAAAAAAGAGGTATTCTGGGACTTTATCAAGGTACTGGTGCAACAGCACTTAGAGATGTCACATTTTCTATTCTTTATTTCCCATTATTTGCTAGACTAAATGATATTGGGCCAAAAAGAGATGATGGCTCTTGTAAGTATCTAATATTCCATATTAAAGATTTATTAATAATTTAAAATTTTATGAATATTTTTTTATTTTATTGTTTAGCTGTATTTTGGTGTTCATTTTTGGCTGGCTGTACTGCTGGTTCTATAGCTGCGTTATCAGTGAATCCATTTGATGTAATTAAAACTAGATTGCAAGTAATCAAAAAGGCTCCTGGTGAACCAACATATAATGGTGTATTAGATTGTATAACGTAAGTATAAATTTTCATTATATCATTTTTTTTTAATAATAATTAAAAATATTAAAATAATATAATTAGAAAATTATATAAAAATAATAAATAAAAGGATTTGAATAATATTTTAGCTTTAGCTATTTCAATTATATTATTACATATATAGTTTTATTATATTATGCAAATAAAAAATAAATTATAAAAAAAATACATTTAATAATAAATTTTATAGTAAAACTTTGAAGAATGAAGGTCCAATTGCATTCTTCAAAGGTGGAGCATGCAGAATGATCGTAATAGCACCTCTTTTTGGGATTGCACAAACTGTTTACTACCTTGGTGTTGCAGAATGGCTGTTGGGTCTTAAATGAATATCACTTTCTACTTTCTTATGCTTAAATACTCTGGGATTAAAATGACAATAACTGGCGCATTATAAATATATTTTTTCGCTTAATATGGTTCGTTAATTTTTGAAGTTGTATTTTTCTTTAATTATATGAAAACCTTGGTTATCAGATATATGAAAACTATTGTTCAAGATTTATTCGATAAATTTATTAATTTTTATTCATTAATATTTTAGTTTTAACATGTATATATTATCATAATTTTTTTTCTTTTTGTTTATAAGTTTTTTTAATTTTTTTTTATATATTGCAATCTAAAAATCAAATAAAGTTATTAATTGTAATCGAAATAGAAATCTCTATAATAATTAAATTTTATCATAATAATAAAATAAATCATAATATCTTAAAATATAATTTTAAATTTGATTATTAAAATTAAATTATGAGATATTATAGTTAAGTTTAATATAAATAAAAGAAAAAAATGCATTATAATTATGATTATGCTTCAAAGATTAATCTTATTATTTCTTCAGATAATCAAGGTTATTGAGCTTTATAAAAGCTAAGTCAACATTTATAAATAAAAAAGAGTCTGATCTAGTATTATTGAAAATGAAATCTATAATTTGCGATCACGTTGTTTATTTTATCTATTCTCCATATAAATTATTTCGTCAGAAACCAGTGTCTCCAACATTTTTTTCAACTTTTACAGTATGTTTTACAATATATCATTATATATATATGTTGCTAAAATTTTGTAAAGATAAAATAGAATTTATATAATATTATTTACTTCATATATATTTGGAATGAATAAAATTACACATAAAATGTTACTTCTCTAATGTATATGTAATATTGTTAATAAATATTAAACAATTATACAAAAAATCAATTAAACATTGTTAATACTTTTTATATATTTATGTTGTAATAATGGAAACACTGGTATATATTATGAAAAAAAAATTTAATTTATAAGATTTTAATTTTATTTATAATTCTACTTAATTCAATTATCAGAGATTATTATAACTGTAGGATGAAATAATATTAAATAACTCTTAATTGATATGATTAAAAATAAAATAAAAAAAAATAATTTTTTTTTTAAATTTAATATATAGTTTTTTTCTTTATTTTATTAATGTAATTAATTATATTTCTATATTATTTTATATTTTTTATTTAATTATTTAATTATTTTTTATTAATAATTTATTTTCAAATACTTATATATTTGTATCAAATGTGTTTTAAATATCAAAAAAATCATAGCAATTAAGAGAAATTGTTCTTCCACTTTCTCCTTAAGAAATTTTGTGAGAACATTCTAGAGAGTTTATGAAATGGGAATTCATTGCTAATTTTAGTAAAAATTTTTTGAAAATATAATAAAAATATTAGCATTATTAATAGCGTTATTAATATTAATATTATACAAAAGTAAATCTTTTCTGTATAAATCTTGATTTATTTTTCAAACATATTCTTAAAATATTCTTATTTTTTTGTACCTAGCAAATTTCTTTTACACATCAAAAAGAACAAACATGTTTTGTTTACTAATATAATATTTATTATAAAACTTTATTTAATAATTTGGGTTTGTAAAATTTTATGTTTTTTTTAAATTAAATTTGTATATACAAAATTAAAATGAAAGAAAAAATATTCAATTTCCTAATGCTTTATTAATTCTTCCTAGAATTGAACTTTTAATATATCTTTATGCTACTTTATCATAACATCAATGTTATCATTTTTATTATTCTTTATATCAAATTACTAAAAATAATAATTCTTATCTTGTTTTTTATTTAACAAAAATTATAAATCTTCATAGATGTTAACTGTAAAGTATAATAAGTATATTTTATTTATTTATAATAATTATATATTTTTATTACTTAATTTTCATGAAACAATTTTATAGTATTAAATATTATTTAAATTTAAATAAAATTTTGAATAAAATCGAAATTTGAAAAGTAAAAATAAGTTAAAATAAATATAAATATTAAACTTGATAATATAAATTTTTTTTTCTAAATTATTAAAAATTCAAGAATTGTAATATTATATATAAAAAAACTTTACCTTGCATTATAATGATGTACAGGTTTGCGATAAAGTTCAAAAGCACTTCCTCTTTGTTCCCTACTTCCAGCAAGATCTAATCCACTTGGTTCTCTATTATGACTTGAATTCGTCGGAAAATTTTGTCCAGATGCATTATGGCTGTTGTTTACAACATATCCATTGTGATTAATATTATTTCTATTATGCGAAAGACCTAAATTTAACTGACTGGTACTATTACTATGATTATGAGTCGATATTGACGGGGTACAATGCGTATGTGTATGACTCAAATTATGATTGTGTGCAGGCATAGAAAGATTTAAATTATGGTGAGAATTCCCAAGATTTGAATCATGACGATTTGAAGATGAAATATTATAATAATATTGTCCACTGTTTCTTTGAATATTATTGATATTTTCTACCTAAAGTAAAAAATTCTCATTTTTTTTTATTTTTGCATTTAAAAAAATAATAAATTTTCTTACATGAGAAGTTGCAATAGAGTAGCTTTTTGAATGTTGATGTGTATTATTTCCTTCATTTCCATTATTTTCTGGTTGAATTAAATTTGCTTGTGGTGGTCTATAGTTTTTTGGTTTTGGAGGTGGTATAGGTTTATATGATCCTCCTGATTTATTATTTTGTGATAACATTATCGATTTGTAATCAGTTGTGCGGCTATAATATACAAAGCAAAATATTCTAGCATATAAAAATATAATAGATACATAAATAATAATAAAAATTAAACATAAAAATTTAATATAGAATAAATTAATAATATAGTAATAAAGTAGTGTAATATAAAATATATAAAATAAAAAAAATTTTAAATAAAAAATTTGCAAAATAATATTAAAACAATTAAAAATAATTATAATTAATCTTTTTATAGTAAATAATAATAAAAACATATATAGATATTTTCTACTATCTATTTTGACATCTATAAAATTAGTTAGTTTTCTATTATGACATCTATAAAATTAAAGATAATAAAAAAGTATAAATTAAGCATTCAAACTAAAGTATCTTGATTAGAAATATAAATTCTATAAACTCTCCTCAGTAGTCGAGATTTTCGTATCATCATTCTAGAATATAAAGAAGAAAGATAAAGAAAAAATTGTTTAAAAAATTAACACATTTTCATATTTGAATTTTTTTCTGTAAATAATAAATTATATATTAATTAAATCTTTATGTTTTTCATAATAAATTCATACCTATATTTGGCATAATCAGTTCTTGGCTGTGAATCATGATTTGGAATTGGTTGTGCTGTTGATCTAGTGAATCTGTAAGGATCATGTGGTCTTGTTGGTGCACTACTCTTTAAATCATCTGGAACATTAGGACCTAATCGACCAGTAGATGTATTCAATCCTGGTGTCCCATAACTATTATTCCCATTTGTATTATTATAGGAATCATAAGAAGACATACTATCATAACTTCCCTATAAACATGGTAAAACAATAATAAAAATATTACAATTAACAACTTTAATTAAAAATAGAATGATTTTAAATTATTTTTACCGCTTTTGGTTGAGTTCTTTCAAGAGAAGATGTGGCATTAGCTTTAAGAGGTGTCGCATTGATATAATTTGCAACATCCAATATTGAATCTGTTTTATTCAGCAATCGTTCTTGAGCTGATCTTCCAATAGTGTTTCTTTGCTGTTGATTATTTGGTTTTGCATTACGATCTACTCGTGGAGGTAAATCAGGAGGACTATGATGAGAAGATCGTGGTTCAAATGAACCAGCCAAATATTCTGGTGATCCCGATTGATTGCTTACTTGTCCAGATAATGAAAATCCGTACTTTCCTTCTCCTACTCCTCCTTGTGACCTTCTTTTTGATTGTTCGAAAGATTGCTAAAAAAAAGATTAGATATTATAGAATTTATTTAATATTATTTATTAATATCCATATTTATATAATATAATATATATATATAATAAGTCAATATAATTTTATATAATTTTAAATATTACAAAATTATTATAAATATATTTAAGAAATTTGAATATTCAATTTAAGATTATTGAGATTTTTATTCAATATTTTATTTAATTAAAACATTTATTATTAAATTAATTATTAAAATTAACTATATAACTAACTTGATAATTGGTCGAATATGGTGGTGGTGCAGCAATATCATCTTGTGTTGCAATGCTTGGATCAGAATTGCTTTTCAATCTAGATGGTGCACCTAGAGCTCCCGGTAATGCCGGTGCCGGGCTAAGTTCCAAATCACTCTCCGGAGAGGAAGCATAGGAGAGGCGAGAAGTCATCGGGAATAGGAAGTCATCCGAGAGTGCTTCTTCCGGCTATCATCGCAGGACACAGAGGACAACACATTACAGAGGTTTATGCTTTATTCAATCTTTTCAGACATTTTTATATTTAATTATAATTAATATCTTATAAAAGATATTGATCATATTTTATTAAAAAAAATTGTTTAGTTTATTGAAAAATTATCAAATATTTTAATTACATTATTTGTTTAATTACATTTGCATATAAATAAAATTAATAAAAATATTTTTTTGTAAAAAGAGTGTCTGAAAAGGTTAAAATTGAAACGAAAAACAAATACTTGCCATTCAATTAAGCTTAATTCTGAAATTCAGTTAAGATACTTTGAAAATTATAAAGCAGATTATAACGAAAATGATTTATAAAGAAATGGAATAAAATGTTTGTAATATAAAATATATTATGAAAATGTTCTAATTTAATTTCTCTAGGTAAATATGCCAAAAAATATTAAAAATACAAAAAAAATATTTGAAATAAAATTTTTATAATAGAACAAATGCTATTATCATTTTTTGCAATATTCTCGAACAGATTAAACTTATAAAAATCAAAATCGAATTTTTAAATTAAAATCTATACAATATAGTAATTCTATTTATTTTACTATATTACAGCTTACAATTTCAAATCATTATCTAAACAATATGTTTTTAATAATCGTTTTAAAAATATAAGTTTTTAAAATTGACAGATAATATTTGTATCATTTAATATATAATGCAGTGAGATTGTACATCTGTTCAAAAAGATTTTAATATCAAATAAATGACAACAGAATTTGTCTCTAGCCTATACTGCTTTTGTTTTAAAAAAAATCTACAATTATTAAAAAATATATATAAAAATATTTTTCAACGAAAATGTATAAAAATTATTTTTTAATTTGCTTAAAAATAATAAATCATTTAATAATTATATTTAAAAAATCTCATATATAAGAAAAATATATCACCAATATTTTTGTTAGTATTGCAAATGGTGGTTGGTGAAAAAAATTTCTTTAAAATGGAGTCATCTAATTTTATAATTATAATAATCTAACACATTATTTATATATTATTTTAAGTTTATTTGTTTTCAAAAATTTCATGTTTAAAAAATATAATTGAAAATTTATAATTTAAAAATTTACATCTAAGAAATAGCTTATTATTTTTAAAATTAAAATTAAAATTAAAAAATTTATAATTGTTTAAAAACATTTTTATATTTCTTATTCTTAATTAATATTTCAAATTTATAATCAATTTTTGTTAAAAAAACATAATAAATTATATAATAGTTATTTGTTTCTTTTTTTTTTTTTTTTTGAAAGAATGAGTTACATTTTCAGATATATGTCAATAATGATGTATTCTATTCATTATTAATTATATTATTTAATGAATTTTCATGAATTGAAGATGTTTATTCCTCTTGATTTTGTTATTTAGTTTATTTATTATTATCTATTTAGTTTCGCTAAAAAGATATTTCAAAGCTTTACTATTTTTTTTCAAAATATAAAATTATAAAATGTTTTCTTGACTAGTTTTTAATAATTTTCATATTTATAAAAGTTGTAACATATAAGATTATTTCATTTAAAATAATAATTTATAATGATTTATGTTAAAGCTATAAAAACTCAGCTCATGCGAATTAAATTGAACGTAAAATATAAGATGTCTTGAATATTTTAATTTAAATTAGAAAGTTTTTCATGAATTGAAATAATAAATTTGATTAGTGACAATGTTTTATATCTTTTACTTATAAATATATTTTATTTGTATATTTAATAAATCAAAATTTTTCTTCATATGATACATAACAAAGTTAAATTTTTTTTTCATGTTCAATGTTTTGAATATTCAAAAAAATATACATATTATTTTTTAAAAAATGATAATCAAGACACCTAATTAGGAAAAGCAGGATTTAAATATAGCCGAAAAATTGCTCACGGACAACATCAGAAGTTAAAGACGGATAAGAAGGTAATGAAAATAACTTATCCGTGTGATATGTATCATTTTCGTTTATGTCATGATATATGATCTCCCTAAAAATCGGAGGTACAGGAGGGGGAAATAAATCATGAGGGTCACTGGACGAATAACATGGCTCCCAAGTCATTTGTCGACCATATAATGGCTATAATAAATTATTAAAAAATAATTTCACCAATATAATTCTATTCATTTCCAAAATTGTCATTTATACGATGTTTGAACTTATTCTCAATATTTATATGTAAATTAGAATCTCATTTGATTTTTTATATACAATTTCGGGACAAATTATACAAGCAATAGGTAATTTTACATATAATAATGATTTTGAAAAAAAAGAATAAAATTTTTTTGGTCTCTTCTTTTCCAACTAAATCAAAAATTTTTCAAATATAAATAAAATTGCTTAATTTCAAATTGAATATAAATAAATTATCTATTGAAGTTATTTCACATATAAAAAAATATTGAATCAAATTTTATTATTTAAATCATACTTTTTGAGAAAATTAAGATAATATATTGAAATATACAAGATATCAAGAAAAAATTGGGACAAAACTTATTAATATTAATGAAATTAAATAGGTAAAAAAAATTTTTTTTTAAACTTTTATATAAACTAAGATCTGAAAATGCTTTATCAAAGAATTATAAATTCAAATGTTCAAAAATTTTTAGAAAAATTTTCAAATATTTTGCTTTGCATAATAATATTCTATTTTTTTTTAGACTTTTAAAATATATGTGAATTTCTTAATAAAAAATTTCTTCAATATTAGATCAAATATTCTATAATAATGTATTTGTATTCAATTGAAAATTAATTAAATTTACTTATATTTGAAAAATTTTTATTTGCATGAAAATAAAGTTTTAAATGAAAAAATTATATTTCAATTAATTTTTATATGTAGAATTACCTTTTTGGCTATTTGAATTATCCTAAAACATTCTATATAAAAATATATAATATATATAATAATAAAATAATAAATTAGAATAAAATTATTCCTTGTATACGATAAAAATAATTAAGGAATTAAAGAACTTTCTTACCTTAGTTTGACTCATCCAAAGTAATCCTTGTTGTTGTCGATCAATTAATTCTCTTAATTTTCGATACCAAGCTTCCGGTGTGGTTAATGTAATCATTGCGCTGAAGATATGACTCCAAATTTTATCTAATTTTTGACATTGTTCCAAAAGTTTTTTACTACTTTTATGTGCCGATCTGAAGTCAAAATTTAAAATTATTTATTTATATATTTGAAAATATAAAACAAATATACATGAAATTTTTATTTCATAAACATATACTTAGGAACTCCAGCACGCATTTCTTTGATAATCTGTTTCGTTTCAGCTTTTAAAAAAATAACTATGGGGTAGAACTGCGCATAATTCAATCGATCTACGGCGTTTGGAGTGATATCCAATAAAGCATGTTTTCCTCGATCCATAACTTCTCTAATAGCACTAAGTCGAATGATACCTGATGATTTCATATTTTTCCCAACATTATCATCTAATTGATTTTCCATTTCTGTAAATAAACAAATAATTTCTATAATTTTTTAAAATTAACTTTAATAAATTATTAATATTAATTAATTGAAAATTTCCTATTTACGTGGAGATGTAAATTTATCAGGAAAATCCTTTAACAACTTTTCTCTAGCTAGATCTGCAACTGGTCCAAACAATACTACAGGTCTCACAAATCCTGGATGTCTTAAAATTACTCTTTCGTAAGCTGGAAATTTGCTAATGCTATCTGAAAATACTACATCATCCCAATGATCCTAAAAGTTATAAATAATAAAGAAATATAATGATCATAAATAATTGATTATTCAATAAATTATTCTAAGATTTTTATTAATCAAATAAAAAAAAAAACTTACTCTACCAAGAGATTTAGAACGTCTATGACTGCTTCTTCTTCTCCTAAAGAAACTACCTCTACTTTCATTGGCACTCATTTCCTTCTTTGTTGCATTAAATTGTGCAGTTGCTAATTCTTCAGCACGAGCTTTATTTGGAATAATTCCTTTTTGTACTTCCTGATTATTTCTACCAATACGGAATACTTGCCACGAACCCACAACACCATTATGTAGAGTATCTATAACATGAAATACATCTCCACTACGAAAGCTCATTTCTCCTTTTTGTGGTTGTTCGTAATGGAAATGAGTTCTGTAATATTATATGAAATTTCTTTAAATAAATATCAATTTATATTATGTATTATGTAATATATATTATATATTGCTTTATTTAAGATTTAATTAACATTTACTTTATATGAAAAGAATCACCCTTTCCAGATGCTATTACTTGATCATATTCCTGTCGTCGATGTTGGACAATCAAATCGATTTGTTCTTGAAGACTGAGTAAAAAAAGAACAGCTTCTTCTCTTGTTACTCCTTTCAAATCCATATCATTTATCTGTAATTTTTTTATTAAATATAATGTAAATAAAGATTTTATATATATTTATATATAATGTATGTACATTTTTTTTAATTAAAAAAAAAATCAAGAAAATTTTACCTTTAAAATTTTATCTCCAGGTTGCAAACCTTGAAGGGAAGCTGGACTTGCTGTCTGAACGGCCGTTACAAAAACACCTGTTTCATTTCCACCGCTCAGACGTACACCTACTGATCCTTCTTTTTGAAAAGTAATAAATCGAGGATCAGGCCTAAATTTGAATTAATATTACTTATATAATAAATCTTTTATAAATATTAATAAATAATTACTGAAAGAAATTTGAAAGATATAACTTACATTGGAAGTTTATTCCTAGTCAAATCTTCATCATATAATTGTCTTCTTGTGCTATAATAATCTAAATGGATTTTTTTTATATATAATATTTTAATACTTAAATAATTTAAAAATGAACAAAATAAATATTGTTATTTAATAACTTTAGTGAAAACTTCATAATATTTTTGTATGTATATTTTGTATATTGTAATTATAAAAATTAATATTATAATATATATTATTATATTAATATTATAATATATATAATATATAATATTATATAATTAATATAATAAATATAATAATATAATAAATTAAATATAAATAAATTTTCTGATAAAATCATACCTTCTGGTCTGGGAGGTGGTGGTCTAGGAGGATCTACAGTAGGAGTTGCAGGAAGATCTAACTGACTAAGAGAAACATCCATCAATGGTCCTCTAGCACGACCTCTAGGAACAAGGTTGCTCTTATCTTCTATTGGTTGTCTTGTTGGTGGTGGAACATATAAATTTTGGCTACTATAACTTGTCATACCAGAAAGATATTCTCCACTTTCATTTTTTGTTTGCTGTTGTATATGGCAACAAGAATTGTCTCGAGTTACTACAATGGACAATCTATCTTTACATTGATCCATTAATTTCTTAGCTTCTTTTAAACTCATATTATCCGTAGCTACACTGCCAATTCTTGTCAAAATATCTCCTGGTTTTACTGCTATATTTTCTCGAGTAACTTCTTTGACATAAAGACGACAACCGAGAACAATTCCAAAATCTGAAGAAAAAAATTTTTAAAACAAATATTACATATATGATAAATAAACTTAATATAGATACATGTTGAATAATTAATTTTAAAAGACTTTCTTCTATATTAAATTTAAATAAAATTAAAATATTATAATGAATATTATAATGAATGTATATTATTAATATCTGTTTACATATATATTGTTACTATTACTATTAAAGATCATAATCATTATTTTAATTACCATCTTTTTTATTATTTCTTGTTAAAGTCAATCGATGATTTTGAAGAGTAAAATTTCCTATATTTCCAGAAGAATTTGATGAAGCTCTACGTTTGACAACTAATAAAACTGTTGATCCGGAATCCCTGAGAACGCGAATTGCTGCTCCATAATCGGCACCTTCTAATGATATTCCATTAGCGGATATTATGCGATCATTTACTCTAAGAAATAAAAAATACATTGTTATATATATAATTTTATTAATTTAAAAAGTAATAATATTATAAATACCATTTTTTGTATGTATTATTTATTATTATTTCATAAATTTTTGATCACAATTATATATATTAATAATATATATAATTAATAAATATTAATATATACCGAGAAAAATATTGATATAATAATATATAATAATTATATATATTGAAATAATAATACTTAAAAATATAAATAGATTAATAAATAATTATATTATTCATTATAAACAATTAAAAAAAATATTTAAATAATTCAAAAATCAAAAGAAACAAAAAAATAATTCTAAATCAAAAAAATGTTTTCTTGATTTTTTATAAATTATTTTCATAAATATTCTTACTGTAATTTTCCCTCAGCTGGTCCAGCTTTTAGAACATCAGAAATTGCAATAGCAGGATCGCCATTAGTGAAATGAGGATTATCTCGGCCACCAGAAACAGCAATACCGAACCCATAACCAGGAACTCTAGTAACAGTAACATGATGAATTTCCCATCCTCTGTCTCCGTTCTAAAAAATTTTTATATAAAATATTTAATTGAAATTCGATGAAATTTAATTTATAATTAAATTTTTTTTGTGATTTATATAATATAATATAATATAATATAATATATTATATAATATAGATATCTTATTATTAATTGTAATTATTTATATAATTTATATATATAATTATTTATTTGGAGTATATTTATATTAAATTTTAATGAATCTAATTTATTACGAATAGATGATAAAAATTCGAGAAAACCAGTGGAATAGATAATTGGATGAAAATTCTAAGGATTCACATTAACAAGATTCTTATTATGCTTAACACATATTTAACTTGAACTCAATCGAAGATTACGTTTTATTTTAAATCGAATGTAGTTCATTTCTATCTTATTTTAGAATTTGAATTAGATTTTATAATACAGATTTTATAATACAATATAAATACAGATTTAATTTTCAAAAATATCTTTCAAAATATAAAAACTATAACAATATATTTTTATATGTTTAAAAGAAATTTAGAAATATTTTTTATTTTTTATCCTTCTTTAATTGTGAATTTTTTAATAATAATAAATATGATAACAAAATTATTTTCAAATTTTTTTATTTATTTTTTTAAAGAATAATGATATTTTCAGGATTTTCATTTATTTATAATAATATTTATAATTCCCACCTGTGCATCAGTTCCACTGGAAGTATTATGAAGAATATTATGTGTCGTCGAAGATGGATTCGGAGGATTCCCCGAATTTCCGACATTCACGTTGTTATCGTTTCTATCCATTTTCATATGCTGGAAAACTTTGTCTTTGAGAATCTGATGTTTTTCCTCTTGATATTATTAAAGTATCATTTTGATTGATACATACATTCTTATGTTACAGATGCATTTTTATTTTATTTTTATTATTTTTTATCATGTTTTCATAATTTCTTTATCTACATAATACTTAAATTTAATATACATAGTATTTTTAATAAATAAATAATATGAATACAATTGTTTAATTTTTGTTTTAATTTTTTAATTTTTAATTTTAAAATTTAAAAATGTTCATTTTGAAAAATTCTCTCTTCATCTCATATTTTTTTTTCTTTTTTCTGATAAAAATTCTATTCAATTTATAGACACTTTTTTAATTATTTGACATATTAGATATTTTTTTATTCTTTCTTTGTAAAATAATTGTTTTTATAAAAATTTTTTCAGAAATATCTAATAAATTTTCAGAAATATATAATAAAATTTTCTTTTAAACAGACTTTTTTATTAAAAAAGTTTATTCTTATTTTATTAAAAAAGAAAGAAAGAAAAAAATGTAATCATATAAAAATTTTTGATTCATTTGTTCGTTGGTCATCAAGTGTTTCTTTTTTAACAGAATTTTCCGGAAATATATATATATGTATCCAAGCAGTGGCGTAAGAATAACCAAATCCATATATATTTTGTAAATACATCCGTTCTCTATTTTTTCTTTTTTTTCTTATATATCCACTCTGTGGATATATTTTTTTCTTTTTTTTCTTATATTTTAATTATATTCTTCGATATCCTAATTATATATGTTATTTTGCGATATTGTATGAAAAATTGCGCGACTTCATTTTCAATAAAAGTTTTTCTGCATTTTGTTCTGTATATGATGAACGCAATATACAAACAATCCAAAGCAACACGTAGTTATGGAATTCCATTTTCCTTTCGAGTAGTCAGACCTTCACTTTTCTCATCCGTTCTAATTCCATATTTTTGCAAATCAGATTGATCTTGAACATTTTGATTAATTGAACTAAATTTTAATATCAAATTGTTTATTTCCTTTTTTCTTGTTCGTTTTTGTTCGTATATATATGTTTGAAATTGCTATTTTTAACGATAATTTTTATTATTTAGAATATTGTTTATATTTAATATTCATGTTTAAAAATTTTATTATTTGATTCTTCCACATAAACATTTTTTCTCTTGATATAAAATAACTTTCGATTATTAATTCTATTAATATTATAATAGTTTTATATTTTATTATTAAATTCAAATTAAAAAAAAATTTTTTTGATCTAAATTATATTTTCCTTGAAATATAAATATAGTAATTATTTTTATTATAATATACTATAATATATTATAATATATAATTTTTTTTAATAATCCCTTTGCTGATTTTCAATAAAACTTACAACAAACTTCTAATCTATAGTTTTACTTAGCCTTTTTATATCTTTTTATATC